CCAAAATGCCTAATTTCAGGCTCCTTTTGTAAGAATCTGTTCTCATTTGTTAGCTTCTACCTACTTTCATTATTTTTTTCACCAAAATCCCCTTTCACCCACTTTTCATTTCCAGATTATTTTGAAACAAATTCCAGACATCGCATCACTTTATCTTAAATAGTTCAATAGCTCTAAAAGATAAGCATCATTTAAAAATAACCACAATACCATTATCACACCTGAAAAATGTTTAATATCAAATATCCAATGTTCAAATGTCTTTAACTACCTCAAGCATCCAAATAAAATCCAAACATTGAAATGGGTTGATATATTAAATCTCTTTTAGTCCATGTTTTTTCTTTTTTCTTGCTATTTGTTGAAGAAACCAAGTTCTTTCGAGTTTCCCACAGTCTGGATTTGCTGATTATAACCTTGTCATATCAATTAGCATGTCTTTCTATCCCCTGTATTTCCTAAAATGTAGTGGTTATATCTGAAGGCTAAATCAGGCCCAGGTTTGATTGTTTCTTGGCAAAACCACTTCTTGGGTGGCATTAATGAACTTTCATTAGGAGGCACATAGTCTGGTCTTTCTCTTTGGAATGTTATCAGTCAACAGATGTTCATTGCTAGATCCCTTAATTCGCATACACACACTTCTATAAGGCAAAATTCTCCTTTATCAACAATTAATTTGGTTACCCAGAAATACAGTTCATTTGGAGAAAGTATACTAAATACTTGTTTTTAACTGTACCAATTTTCAAAGTAACAAGTTGGTTTGCTGGTGTCCTTAAAGTTGACCAATGAATTTCATGTCAATATCATTATGAACTCATGCATTTAAACATATTTGATGTGGTTCAAACCATTGCAGTTACTATCTTTATTGATGCTTAAATCGTATCATCTTTGCCAACGGGAACCAATTCAGGTTGGCTCTTGGATCCTTTTGAGTTGTCTTTGGTAGTTGCTTTGTTTTCCAGTATGACAAGATGTTCCAGGCTCATATTGTACATTTCCTGCCCCAGAGATGAAACCACCCATTTCTTCATGGAGCCTGGATTCCTTTGAGTAGGAAATGGTATGTTGTGATCACAATCTGGGCATTACTACATCAGTCATCATTTATAGGCCTTTTCAGTAAACAAAGTTAGGAGATTTTGTTGTTATTGTTTTATAGCTTTACTTATGATAAAGTACTTTATGAATTCATACTGACACTTCCAATTCAAGCCCAGGATTTACTTAACTTTATTAGTCTTACCTGTACTTCGTTCATCGTGAATTCTTTCTGATTGCCTCAACTAGAAGTGATAGATCTTGCTTTGAATTATATCATCCCTTTCCACAACTTTTATAACAGTCGACATATAATCTTTGATTTATTGGTCTTTTTGTATATCTCTTATCCTTCCTACCAGATGGTAAGCAATTTGAGACAAGAATTCACATCTTTTTACTCTTTGTTAAGATAAAATTCTTCAAGTGCTTGTGTATTTCCTGACACATAAATGTCCTTTCTCTTTGTATCCCTTGAAATATGGAACACTGTACCTACACTAAATGAGTTGAGTTAAATCTAAATTTGTATTTATTCATTTAACAATGAACTTTTCAGATAAAAAGTACTAGAAACTCATTTTAGTGGCAATTAGGTTAAAGATATTAAAGTTGTTTGAAATAAGTTTTATTTCACAGATACAAAAAAATTTTGAACAATTTACAGCTTGTACAAACACTGGTAGCTTTTATATTTTAAAAAAGTGTTATGCTGAGAGAATAGGAAAACTTTTAAACTACAATGATATTCTAAATTATAGATTCAGAGAATGGGACTATGACGAAAGAATTCTATTCAACTACAAAATCCCGAAATAATCTTTGATGGAAGGAAAATGAATACTGGACTTAAAAACAGTATGAAATCACACTCTGGTCTGTAAACACATTTAGCTTTGTTTTTCAGATATATACCTAAAAATTAAATGTCACTAAAATGAACCATTCAAAGATATAATAAAAAAGAGGTAGGTAATGAAAATTAAAGAATCTATTTTGGCAGTTCTTCAATAATGATGCGAGACACTGAATTCCATCCAGTAGAGGCATCTCCTTTGGGGTAATCTGAACAAGTACCAACCCAGATAGCCACATCCACTAACCCGGCACCAATTCCTTCACAAAGTCCTTCCACTGCAAAACAAAGGTGAAAGGTACATCTTTCTTTAGAAAGCAAAATCCTTTAGTTAAATTTTATTACTTTAGCAAGCTAGATAATCTAATGTACAGTGAATTAAAGACTCTAATACTTGATAAGGATTTCATAAAGATAAATTCTCTTTTTCTTAGCAGATAAATATTTTTAAAAGATGGATACATATCCATTCTATAATATAAGTTTAACAGGCAGTTTTCTTACAGGTTTTAAGGATAAAACCAGAAGTTTTTTAGTTATAGAGATGACCTAAAACGTCAATAAAAACAATTTATTTGACTAGACAAAGTAAGCCTACACTTTCAAAAGCCAAGACTTTATTTGATTTGGAAGTCTTTTTTTTTTTTTAAAGAAAGCCCTTCTTAACACTTACTTCTACACTTAAGGGTATTCAAGTAGAAGAGAGAGCTTTTATAATATTAAAAGAAATTCGAGCATGATCATTATAACAGTCCTTCATTCTGGGAATCTCATTTTATACAGAATTTCCTCACAATGAAAAAAAAGAAACAAACAAAAAAACAACTCTGCTTTCCCTCTTATGCTATATAAAAATATATACTTTTTCTCAGGGTCTGTGGTCTTTGACATACTAATAAACAATTTGCATTTCATCTTACCAAGGTTCTTCTCCTACATTAAAGAGAAAAACTTCTCCCAGTGGTCATTTGAACAGGCAAAAAGATCTAGCCCCTTTGATGTCTGTTTAAGGGGAAAAGGAACCAGAGATTGTAGATTCTTTAAGAAAATGAGTCCTGACACATAGTAGTGTACAGATGACATAATGTGACTGGTCAGGTTTCTCATTTAGTAGGTTAGTTCATTCCAGTTGAGCCTCAGGGATGTAGGCCTAAAGCAGTCTGAGGCAAGTCCTTCAGAATCCAGGGACCTGGGTCTGGTTCGGTCCCCTTTCAAAGTCGGGAGAACTAAGCAGTGTGCCCACAGTCTCATTTAATCTGGTATCCTCAGTACCATGCCAGGTGAGAATGCCCAGAAATCCTCATATTTTTCCGAGGTCTTGACATCCACAGCCTAGAAACTTGTTCGCTCCCCCACAGGATGTCAGACAAGCTTGGTTCCAGCGTCACCCTCATGCGGGGAGAGTCAAAAAGTCACTTCACGGTCTTTAACAAATGAAAAAATATTTTCTGAATGAATGAACATTTTTGCTATACTAAATTATTGCAGCTTATTAACCACCTAAAATATGTTGGATTAGGGGTTCTCAACCGGTTTTCCTCCTAGACCCAGGCAATAAGATGACATTCAAATGTTTTTCAAACTCCCATGGGCACATTCAAGGCATTAAGTCATCCTCTGATGTGTTAATGTAAGTACATCCCCTTTCCTTTCCTTCAAGAAAGAGTATCTGTGCAAGGGAAAGTGATTTTATTGCAGCGGTAACCTTCAATTCATCTTAATACAAAAAACTGTTACAAATAACAAATTGCTTCTGACAGTCCACCCAACTGAATAGAACACACCAAATGAGGTTTTACATCATGGCTGGGAAGTGCCATGTTAAGTAATTTATAAAGTATATGCGTGTATAGGTCACAGTTTCTGGGCCTGAGGGCTTACATTATAGCAAGATATTAACACACACACCTTGAAGATAATTGAAAGTAAATTGATTATATCAGCTCTTATCTAAACACATATCACTTCCTAATCAAATTTAATTTTATATCTAGATTTTTTAAAAAAAATTTTAGACACTGCTTCTCAGAGGGGAAAGCACATCTTCCTTTCCAGCACATGCATCTAATAAGGACTTAGAGGTGAGGCTTTTTAATCTGATCAAAGAGAGAGCTGGGTGAAATAAGAGGGCAGGGGCCTGGTTTCTGCTCTCCTGAACACTGATTCTGCTGTCCTGAATGAGACACTTTACTTCCCTGGCCCTTCTCTATGTGCAAAGAGAGGGGCTTACAATGCCTTCTTTACATCTCAAGAATACTGTGGAGATTTGAGGAAGAATGTGGAAGGGATGCCCTTGATTTCCTAGGGATAAGTGTGCAATGTTAACATTAGTTTTTGGGTTAAGTATCCGACTTAGATCCTCAAAGAACGCTGCCATATAATTATTTCCTCTGGTTAACAGTGTTAACAGGGGAATCTATTCTCTTCCCTTAGCTACTTTTAAGTACAAAAAGTAGTGAGAAATCCCTTCAAGAAATCAGGAAAATGAAGCCAGCAATATCTACATCGTGTGATTCTCCCGGCCTGTGGTGTCATGGCGTGCCACCCCACAGCCACTCAAGAAACTAAAAGGGCTGGCAGCCAAATCTGGATAGTGATGTGTCTAGACGGTGACATGAATAGGTAATTTCCCCCACTGCTACTGTTTGGTTTCTTCTAAACTTTCTTAAACGAATCTTAAAACGAACCAATTTTTTTCTTACAGCTCAGCTGACCACTGGTTTAATCGAATGTCTTTTCTCTGATACTAGATAGAAACAAACAGAGAAGGCAGGAACAATATAGAAATGTTCTCTTACAAATTCAGCAGACTGCATCTACTCTTTTAAAGCAGAGGGCAGAAAAATCAGTCTCCTTATCAATTTAAACTAGAGGTTCTCGACCTTGGCTGAAGATTAGAATAACCAGAGATTTGGAAGTCCTATTTCCTAGGGAGCACCAGACGCATTAAGTTAGACTCTTTGGAGTGAGGGTGCCCAGGCATGGGGATTTTTTTTAAAGTTCCCCAGTTGAGCCAGTGTGTAGCCAAGGCTGGAAACCACTGCTCTATGACATTATTGGCTGTTTTGCCATTTCATCTAACTCAGTGATTTTCGACCTTGGGGTTCTTTTTAAAAATACAGTCTTACCCCCAGATAATCTGATTCAGTTGGTCAGAGACGAGACCCAGGCATCCACATATTTTTTTAAAGATCCATTTCAGGAAATCCTAAAATGCAACCAGGATGGAGAATTCTGAGTTGAAAACTTGCTGCAGGTCTCTTTACAACAGCCTTGTGACCCGACATGATGGTGGACTCTCAATTGATCTCTGGTCTCTAAAGATCTGAGACACATTCTGCAATGTTGCTATTCTACATACCGGAAGAAGTGCGATGAATATTAATTGTTGAATTCAGTTCAGGGCTTCCTTGGTCCAAATAAATTATGGCTTCAATGGGAAGAGGTCCTGAACATTCAGCTCCGTTGAACGTGAAATACCAACGTTGGCAGCATGAGCTTCTGCCATTTAACCGAAGGCCTTCAATTTCAATTAAAAAGATGCTTTCAAATTGTATTGTGAATTTTATTTAACTATCCTTTCCCCCAAACCGCATTTAAAAAGCTTAACTTTTACAGAGGGAGGAAGATGTTCTACAAGACAGATGAGACTCTGATATTAGGAACTATAAAAAAATCAAATGATGGTATTCACCCCATGGGAGATATCTTTCACTTTTACCCAGAACAACTAGTCTTCGGTATTTAGACCAAACCAATATATATATTTACTTTCTGTTTTCATTCCAAAAGTATTTCCTGAGCCCTATGTGCTGGATGCCACAGATACATCAATAAACAAAACGGAATCCCTGCCCTCATGGAACTCACATTCTACGCTAGCACTGTCCAGGTATATTTACTCTTGACCTGTTTCTATTTGATCAACAGCAAACAGTAGCAGGGTGTCAAGCACAAGTGAGTGTCTTAATGTTTACCTATCTGATGCAATATAAGGCCTAGGTGGTTTTTTTTTTTTTCTCTAATAGGTCTTTGCAAATGTTGTCTGTCAATTGCCTCATGGTCTTCATGTAGGGAGGAGGCAAGAGAATTAAAAAGTGTTAATCAAGCCACAATCAGAGACTGTGATATACTGATCAGCCTTACAGCCAGGCCAGGAGGAACCTGCAGAAACGAAGGAAGATTTCTGCTGGATTACTAACAACCCATTCCCCACACAAGAAAAACAGTCATTCCCTATGGCTAGAACCTTGGGGAACCTATGGATTAAAGTCTGGGAACTCCCAGCAGGCCTTTCACTCTACATATTCTTACCTTTTCACTCTATATTCTCTTCTCCTTCCTCACTGTATGTCCACATCAAAGGAAATGTGTTAACAAAGTCTTTTAAACTATAAACTAAAGAATGATATAGAAACTGAATTCGCCCAATACTCAGTATCCCTCTCCGTATTCTTCTCATTGTCCGTCTCACTCTCTGCCTCTGAGAGGAGACCACACTCTGGAGGGTTACCCCTTTTCTAAGAAACTTTCCTTTGACTCTAACTTTGGCTTGTGTGTTGAATTCTTTCCACACTCTCTGCCAAAGGACCCTCTTCTTCTCTCGGTCCAGGGCTTGGTCTCCTCCTCAACCTCCCACTCGGGGTAATTTGCCCTGTCCTGCATCGGTCCTATGATCTTCTCCTTCCAGAAGGCTCCCAAACCCATTCTGACTATGGCTAAAAGGAACTTGAAAACATATTAATAATTCAGAGTCCACAGGGGTAAGTTTTAGAGAGAACTCGGCAACTTTCAATGAGCTATAAATAAGTAACCAGTCAAATGTTTGAGGGAGTAAGCAACATTTTAACAAAATGCTTTCTAAGAAATCACAAATAAAAATGATCAGTCACCAAAACTATGGAAGCTATATGGAAATTCTATCACACATTCAAAAAAATCAAGACGGTCTCAAACTTTTTTATAGATAATAGAGCAGATATTAAAGAGCAGAGACAAGGATCAGAGATAATACACAGTTTAAAACCTTAGAGTTTTACGAAAATAAAATCTCTTCTATTTGCCTGGTGATAGTGGTGGTTGATATATCGTGGATATGGAACCATGTACAGAGTTGGTCAACAAAAGAGAGGCTTAAGAAAAGCACCAACTTCTTCGACTACGCCATCCCAGTGGGCTTGCCTGGTACTTTTGAAGCAAACACTGATCAAAGTGACTGAGTCATTAATCAAAAATGCATTGCCAGACAGGCCATTTTGAGTAATATTCCCTGTAAATGTTGCAGAATAATTTTAAATGGTCACAGTAGTATATCTCTGGTCCATTCCACTTCTCTTAGGCTGATCAATTTTAAGCCGGGCCAGCTACCCAGAATAAGGACAAATACCAATGGCAGATAATTCCTGTCATGTAGTAATTTTTTAGAAATTTCTTCCCACCTTTATTTCTTAGACTAATTTAAATTTACTTTAGGATAAGATTAGAAAGTTGCTCACTGTCCAATCTTGTGGACAAAGACACATATGCTCTCTCTTTTTGTTTGCATTTTTTTAGAAAAAAGTTACTTGGTTATTAGGGTTAAAAATCATATAGTGATTTCTTTGTTTTAGAAATACCTTTATAAAATTAATGTTATCAATTTTTTCTCATTAATTTTAAGTTAATGTCTCATGATAACTACTCCTTAATTTTTAAGTCTTTTAGTAAAAATAAAATAAAATTTCACCTAAAATTAACACTCAACTTTGAAAACACTTAAGTTTTGCTTTAACTTCAAAATAATTCAGATTTTACTTACCGCAATTTTCCCAAGATCTATGCCATAATTCAGCGAACTCCATGAACACTGCTTGTAGTTGGGTGTCCAGGACTCCTCAAAGGTTTCCCTTAGGCATTCCCCCTTTTCTCCTTTGAATCCATCCCGACCTGGGATCCCAGGGGTGCCAGGAATACCATTGGCCCCAGGGCTCCCGTCTCGACCAGGTACCCCCGCAGGCCCTTGTAAGCACATTCCATTATACTACAGCGGAAATAGGAAAGGGGAAAAAACTCACCAATTCAGAGTCAAAGACTCAATCAGATTAGATGTGCATTCATTTTGAGCTCTTGGAGTCAAGAATCCTTTCTTACCACTTGCTCATGTTCCAGATGAGTTAGTATAGAGAATTGATTTTAAAGTTATTTCTAAAATATTGAGATCTCTTTCCTATTTTCTTTATCGCACAGACTTTACATACATACACAAATCAAAATGTTTTCATTCGACTGCTTTTTTCTGCTGCTCATTAAAAGCGTACATAAAAGCTGTATTCCAAGGTAGACATCATTTGATGTACTGCATTTTTCTTCTAAACCTATATGTTATAAAAAGACTTGGATTTCAAAATTCTACCTTTACAATTTTATGCAAAATTGTACACTGCACTATTTTGGAATACTTAGGTTATTTCTATTTTTTTTCTAGTATTAATATTACTATAATGAAAATCTTTAACCACATGGCTTTTTTCTTCTTTTGAATTATTTCCATAAGATAAATTCCTAGAGATATAATTACAAAATAAAATCTTAACAGTCAATAATTATCTTACACTGGCAATATCTCTAAGTTAGATAACATGTCCCCTGATTCTCCTCTCTAATTCTGTGTCACTATGGTAACACTTCTGACCTCCAACCCCACCCCTCCCCCTTGAAAAGGAGTAAATGACTTCATTGTAGGTAACCACTAGTTTTCAATAGGGTGGCTGTAATTTATCAAATGCCTTAACTTAAGTGCTAGGATTTTCTGTTTTTCTTGGGGGTGGGGGATGGCAGTGGTAGCATGTAGAAGTTAAGAGCCTGGAGGCAGATTCTCTGAATTTTAATCCTGACTCCACCACTATTAGCTATGTGAGATAGAGTAAATTACTCAGTATGTCAGTATCTGTATCCCTATCTGTAAAATGGGGAAAATAATAGAGTCTTACCCCGTAGGGTTTTTTGAGATGTGAGATAATATATAAAATGTGCTTAGAACATTGCCTAGTACACAGTAAACACTGCATATGCCAGGCATGATTATTCTTATTTTCCAAGAGCATATGAAGCAATGACCCTGGGCAAGTATGTCCACTCCCCTGAGGGGACTTTACCAGGGTCTAGATCTGGAGAAAAGAGCATTAGCAAACATGCCACACATATGCCACACGCACTAATGTCGTCATCAAATCTGTGGTATAAGTGATATTTTGATATCCATCTGTTTAATTCCTGAATTGGTCCCCTTATTAGACCCTCCAAATCCCAAACCCGATCACTTAAATTTTTATTTTAACATTCTCACATTGTGTAGATTGTCCAATACAATCATTCTATATAAATATATTGTTCAATGAGAATAATAATAATAAAAAAAAAAAACTAAGGTTCCTTATATATTAAAATAACTTCAAAGCTTATCTTTTAATTTCACCATCTGGGTAGGACTAGACATGGTCATATTATAAAATCCAATAATGACACTGCCTCGGCAGGATCCTCATGTTTCTAATGTTTGCTCATCAATTTGCTTCTCAAATTACCAGCTTGATTTTTGTTTTGATAAATGATTTTTGTGACTTCGACCACTGCTATTTTCCTGATTATGGGGGGGGGGGCGGGGGGAGACACTCCTATTTATTTATTGCCAGAGAAATAGTAAGAAAAGTAACAAAATTGCAGAAGTATTAGAAGACTTGTTAAAAAATAAAATATCCTAAAACAGTCTAGTTTATTTTAGACTTAATTTTCATTTTAGTAATTCCATTCACTTGCACTAGCAGATACATGCAATGTTTGGACATAGATTTCAAGTGGGCAGGGAGAAATAGTAAGATTTCTTCGGGCATTCTTTGATTTCTTCACTATTATTCCTATAAAAGCAAGATGTTACACAAAGCTTAATTTTCCTATATAACAGTAGTTCTCAACTGAGAATAATTTTGTCCCACAGGGGACACTGGCAATGTCTACAGACAGTTTTGGTTTTTACAACTTGGGAGGAGGGGATTGCTATTGGCATCCCCTCCTCCCAAGTTGTAAAAACCAAAAATGAGCAGAGGCCAGGGATGCTCCTAAATATGCTACAATACATAGGACAGTCCCTACAACAAAGAATTATCTAGCCCAAAATGTCAATAGTGATGTGATTGAGAATTTTTATTCAGATTTTTATCTAAAAACTTTATTTCAGAGACCACATAATTTTACTGAATTTGGTTCCACAGGTATTACATTTGTCTTCTTTCACTTTAAAATGCTAACTCAGCACGTATTTCGTACCTGCCAGGTAGGGATTGGGTAAATCTCTGTGGAATGAACCTCTGTTTCTTTCACTAGCCACTAGGGGGCAAAGCTTGCTGGAAGCGTGAAAGAAATGCTTTGAAAGATCCCGTACAAAGAAGTTTCTTTATGGAATCCGTTGAAACCTTAACGACTATGTGGGCTATTTTTTTTCCTCAGCAAAACCAAATCCAAGCTACAGGATGCACCTGAGCCTGGCTGCATAGTAAGCTTTTCCAAGTCGGGCTAGAGTTGTGGGAAACCGCGGGTACTGTAAATCCTTGGAGGGAAAGAAAAAAATTGCAAGCTTTCTTTATGGGAAAAGGGGTATTTTGTGTATCATAGCTACAAATTCACAAATGCAAACTGCACATGAACCACATTCATTTGGTACAGTTTTTTTTTTTGTTTTGTTTTGTTTTGTTTTGTTTTGTTTTTTTTTAACAATTTAGACACTTAAAATAGAATTGTAGCCCTCCACACATACCACACATAGTAGTCTGCTTTGTGGTGCAAAATTACACAGCACATCACCAAAAAGTGCTGTGTGAAACGGCGAGAATTTTTTTCTAGAGCTTTTGATTCTGGCTTACAACTAACTGCTAGTTTACAATGGCAGCTTAACAAATTTGAACAATTTTTTTTTAATAAAAAATGCCCGTCTCTCTTACGTCCTCCAATGCCCGTAAACCATATTTGCCTGCAATTAAGATTGTATTAAGAATTGAAGATATTATGTGCCAAGGAATATGATAGTTGTGAAAGGATCACTCTTGATCTCCACTGGGTTTGTTGACTTTTAGAGGCAAAGAGCTTTAAGCCAACGTACCTTCCCATAGATTATTAGCCTCTCAGAAAGCACTTGGACTATTTATTTGCTCTCTTGGAAAGTCTTCTTCCTCAGCTCAACTGGGATGCTCCTACCAGGTGGCCACAGGCTGAAGACCCAGGGGTTCTGGAAGGACTGACTGCCCATCTTCTAAACAGAGCAATGGAATGGGTCCTGGAGGGTTGGTGCTGGGCCCCTTCATTTCCCCTTCCGGGCTGAAACCCTCTGAACCATTCCTGGCCCCAGCTGTGGTCGTCCGACCAAGTAAATTGCAGCCCATACTCCCTAGGAAGATGACCCAACATGACTCATAGTCTTCAAGTTACAGAGAGTTGGACGGATGCTTTGTGAGGGCTGTTATTCTCTCTTGTGGGCAGACGTGGCCACTAGCCCAACAAAGGACACGTTGCATGTCCCCGGCCCAGCCCACCCAGGGATCATCAGCCAGTCCTCGGTCTCCCGGGCCAACGTTCTAACCTACCCAAACTCCTCATTCTCCTCTTACTGCCGCTCTAACTCTTCCCATCATCCTAGGGTGGGCTTCCGAGGCCTGAAATTATTGGGCGACTCCCTGTACTTTGGGGCATCTCACCCGACCCATGTCCCATCTCCTCTGTACGGTGGCCCTCTCATTTTGGTGGCCCTCTCATTTTGGTCTCCCTGCGAGTCCCAGGACTCCGCTACACGCAGAGCCCAGGTCCTTCCTTTCACGTAGACTGGGACAAAGCGGGACGCCCAGGCGTACACAAGACATATACACCCAGCTGTGCAGACCGCTCCCCCACCCCGAACAGATGAACTGACGCCCTCCTGGTGCTGCCCGCGGCTCCGGCCGGCCCAGCTCCATGCACTCACCAGGTCCACCACCTCCCTCTGCCGGAGCAACGCCTTCTGCTTCCCTTTGGGGATCTCAGAGGCGCTCGACGGCGCCCGCAGCTGCAGCAGCAGGAGCAACAGGAGGCCGAGCAGCCACGGCGCGGAGACCGCGGCGGGGCCGTGGAGGCGCATGGCGCGCGGCGGCCCCGGGACGTCGGAGCAAGAGCCGGACTTGGAGACCGCGAGCCGGGATGTGATCAGAGTCTGGCCCCGCCGCGCTCCGAGCCGGCGCAGCCTGCATCAATGCGCCTTTCACCCGCGCACCTCCCTCCCACTCCCGTTCCCTCCCGCCCCCCTGGACACCCGGAGTTTCCATCCCGTAACTGGCTGGAGCCCTCACCCCGAGCCCGACGTGGGGCGGGACGAGAGCCGGGCCCGCCCCCTCCTGCGGCTGCTAAGTCTGCCGGGGCTGCACAGACCTCGTGGAGAAGACCCCTGCACAGTCGAGGCGGAGTGGCGGTTGTCAGGGACCCACGGGTGGAGACTTCGAGGATGGGAGTGGAAACCGCATCACCTAAAGAAACATTGTAGAAGGACAGCCTTTGCCAGGGTCTAGGGACCGACTTCAGTGGTCGTTTAATCCTGGCACCTCTTGGGGGCTCTTATTAGGAGGTGACATTTGGGGGAGGGGAGGACCACAGGTATCATCAGGTTCTCCCAGGGGCCCATGTCCCAAATTTTTAGGAACCGCTTTGTAATAAGTGCTAACGCTTAGCAATTTCCAGGAACTACGCAAAGCCTTTTGCACATTCTGTCCTCTCAGGCAAAGCGGGGTGGAGGAGTACCTCCTCCACTTGCCCCACTCGCAGATTAGGACACTGAGGCTCAGGGAGTTAAACAACATTCAGGGGTAGTTCACTTTTGAGTAATCACTCTTGATCTCTGATACTTTTTCTAACCCCTTCTGTCCTCCTTTCATCTGTCCTTGGTCCATTCCAGAAGAAAGCATCCTGAGGGACCCAGGCCACCCACTAGGTACGCTCAGGAGCTCCTTTATACACCACTGGCTAGAATCAGGCAGGTCAGAAGTCTGGCCACACCTGTAGCAACAGGAAGGTTGCTGACAGAATGGCAATACTGCTGAGGTCCCGTTGAACTCAGCAGGGTTCTCTTTGGAGACTCCAGTAGGTTTCCAGTGGGCCCGAAGATGGGTATTAAAGAGAAGAAAAAGTCTGGCAGAGGAGCAGGTCAGGACAGTTCTAGAAATGCTCACTCCTGGGTCAGTGCCTAACCACAGGAAAATTTCATTCCTATTTATCAGAAGAAGTTAAAATCCAAATGGGTTCTAAAGCCAGGACTGGCTACATAATTTGCCCAGCTCAGTGCAAAATGAAAAAGTAGAGTTCTTTGTTAAGAAATTATTAAGAATTTCAAGACAGTGTCCACAGAGCAATACACCAAGCATGGGACCCTTCTAACTGCAGCTGCACATGTTACTCATGCATGAAACTGACCCAGTATAAAACTAAACAAGGTCTCAGCTGATGCCCTTGGTAGCCAGGCCACTGTGGAGACAGCAGTATACAGGCTGGAGAGGAGAAGAGGCTCCACCAGACAGTCTGTCTTCTTTCCAATCGCAATTCTTGCTTTTGTTGTTGCTGCAGCCCCTGTTCTCCAGTGACTTCAGATGGGCCCTCTCTGTGTAAATTTGGGGTCCAGATTGACGTTTCAGCAAAGAGCCAATCCAGGACTTATATATTTCTTATTGGGGCTATGCGGATTTTGCTGATGTTGCAAATGGAATCTACTTATGTTGATTCCTTCATTGATTGTATTATTTTTCTATTACTATGTAACAAATTACCACGGTCTTAGTGATTTAACACAACATAAATTTATTACCTCCCAGTTCTATGGGTCAGGAATCCAGCACAGGTTAGTGTCATACAAAGCTGAATCAAGGTGTCAGCAAGGTGAGTCCTCATCTGGAAGCTTGACTAAGGAAAGATGCACTTCCAAGCTTCCTTAGGTTATTGGCGGAATTCATTTCCCTATGTTCGTAGGACTGAGGTCCTTGCTTTCTTGCTGTCTGTTTTCTGGGGACCATTCTCAGCTACTAGAGGCCACTCTCAGGTCTATGCCATATGGCCCCCTTTCAAAAGTCCTCTTTGTCTCACTTTGAATCTCTGGTTCAGGGTTCAAGAAGGGTGCAGTCCCTTTTAAGGGCTCATCGTACTAAGACAGGCCCATCTAAGATAATCTCCTCTTTGATTAAGTCAAAGTCATCTGTCTAGGGAACTTAATTACACCTGCAAAATCCCTTCTGCCATATAAGATAACATAATCATGGAGTGACATCTGTCATATTCACAGGTTCACTCATACTCAAAGAGAGGATTATAAACCACAGGACAGAAATCTTATGGGGCCATCTTAGAATTCTGTCTATCACACACATCAACAGGCTTTAGCTGGAAGCTTTTGCTTTTCATCACTTGTCTGCTTATAAAATAAAGAGTAATCTGTTGGCAGGTGGCAATAAGATCAAGATGGCCAATAAAAATATTCTGATTATGCTAGCAGTAGGAATCTGCCAATAGAGTTCTATATTTCCTTTGCAGGAAAGCAAATACAGAAGATGCTCAGCTTTTAAATCGTTAAGCATTCACGTATCTCTGAATCATCTTTTGCAAGTCAAGCATATCTTTCACGCATCAGTTGCTATTGAACGTTTTGAAGTATCACATAGTCACTGCCTGCCAGTCAAATAGTCTATTTTAGCAGTATCACTATGTTTGTAAACAGTATTTATGCAATTATTTGACAGTGTTTGTATTTGTTCTTACTATTTTCTAAAAAAGAGCAAAAAAAAAGAAGAAAGAAAGAAAATGGAAAGTAGTGGTATAAATGATAAGAGCTCATAAACTTAGTATATTGAAATAAATATAGAAATAAATGGGCTGACAGTGCCAATATTTAGAATCAATGGACTGCTTACTGGAATTAAGGTAGAAGAACCTATGTTTCAGTCAAGGTCTTATCAGAGTAACATAAACCATGCTAGATATTTCAATCAAAGGATGTTGAATATAAGAGATCGGTTATGCAGATGTTGGAAGCCTGGATGCTGAGGTAAACCAGATGATTAATGAAAGACACATCTACTATCCCCAGAACTGAAACCCCCAAAAGAAGAGTGTTTCTGGAGGAGGTCGTAGAAGCTAGAGCTTGGAGGACGTTCCATCTCCATCTTAGGGGTGCACAAGCGGTCCTTAGACTTCGGGTTGGAGCACCGAGTGCACAGTATTTGGGTCAAAAGGGCCATGAGCAACTGGTACCTCTGAGAAGGTGTATATAGCACAGTTGCTGCCAAGAGAAGCTAGAATCTAAAGCTGTAGCTATCCTTTGCTTAGTGACTAAGTACTTTTACTTAGAATTTATAAAGTATCCTCTATATATTAGCTGTTATTATTTTCATTTTGAAAGTAGGGAATTCCATATAAAAGTAAAGGAAGCCATGATTCAATGGATGACACTGTACCTATATATCTGTTGTATCATTCAGGATCCAATTAGGAAACAGAAACCACTTTATGGTTTTAAAACAGAAAGAATTTAATGTAGGAAACTGGCCACTAAGACAAGAAGTTCAGTAGGGAACAGTGAAACAGGCCAACGTTGGCCACGGCTGTAAGCCGCTGCAACCCTTAAGCTGGGGAGACATAGGTGACCAGTAAAAGCTGTAATCATGTTGGGCTTGTTCATTGGAAGCTGGAGCCACGAAAGAGATAAAACCACTGTCAGAGAAGGAAGATGAGCCATCGCCCGGCTTCTCTCCTCTTCCCACGCTCCAATTTCTGGCCAATCTCTGAAACAGGAGGCTGGGAAACAGCCTACAAAGGTCAGTCAGCCTCATGTGATACAGAACAAAGCAGGGCAAGCTCAAAGCATAGATCTAGGCAAGCAGTGCTGATAAGTCCTGAAAGAGGGTTACCGAATTCCTCCTCCGCTGGTTCATGTTCACATGTGCACACACAGTCAGCTCTAAAATCCAACAGTGTAGTGGTTTCATACCCATTCCTAAATTCCAAATTACCAGACTTTTCAGACTGGTATTATTAAATGGTCAATCTATCCACATACTACACTGATAAACAGTAAGGATATAGCACCCTTACCAGCTCATGAGTGGGTAGAATTTTTATAGTTCTAAGAGAATAAAAGTCGATGGAAAATTATAGAACCTAAATCACTGGTGAAAGATGAGTCAAAGTCCCTTGCCTGCAATCATGGGAAGCACCTTTTACATGCATCCTTTTTTATTTGTGCTTATTCAGACAACTAGAAATTGTATAATCCTTTGCAGTGCTGGAGGGCAAGCACTGGACTGTGTTAAAACTGGGAGTTACGTTTCATTTATTCCGAATCATAGTATGCTACATGCTTTCTACTTGCGTAGTCTTTCATTTCCCATGGAATTTTCTTAAGTTACCCAAAGCTGTGCACTTTCTTCCCCTCTTCGTTATGCCCTGCGTACAGAGGTTTTGAAATCAACATCCTCTGAACAGACTCTGCATTGTAAGAAGTCCTCAGAAAATTGTTCACCATGGAGATCTGTGTTTGAAAATGGTCAAGATTAAAGACATTGCCAGGCAGTTCAGATGGCTCTTTGCAGCCTGCATGTCTCTTTCAAGACACAAAGAACTGCTTGTTTTATGATAAAAGAAAGCCAAAGTAAGCAGGATATTTGGAATTACATCTTAAAACGTTTAGGTTTACAAAATACATCCAGGTCTCCTGTCCCCTTCCTCAGATCTCCAACTCCATCTGCTAAAATATGGTTTCTAATGATTTTACCCCCAGCTCCTCCTGACAGTTGTAGATGTGACTGCTTCATTAATATAAAGTCGGTCTCTGGGAAGGAAATAGAAACAAACGAATAATATTAATTTCCTCCCTCACCTATCGGAGTTTTTATCAAATGACAAAGCAAGCGGAATGAAGTTTTACCTCTTCCAAAACTATCCATTAAAGAATGTTAAACAATGAGAAAATGGGAATTGACTGGTGACAGGAGGGAGAAAGCAATCGAGAGGTTTGGATACAAAGCAAGAAATAGGTAACTGTCCAAAGGAAAGACAAGAGTTAATGGAACAATTCATTATAATTATGGCATAGAAGTTACTAGTTGTAAGACTTGCTAGCTACTGTGTAAAAAATTAAAATTAAGTCTAGGCAAGCTCCCTTCCCATGTTCCTTAATCATGATTTGAAAATAACCTTTTGACGATATTATCAGATACTTTGGCAGTATTATCA